GCCCATTGGACGATGCCTCTTCATCTCTCTTACTGGTGGATTCATTGCTGTGCCCTCTCATTTGTGAGCCCTGCAGCACATTTTGACCCTTAGGGTTTTCGGTAATTATAAGTAGCCGAATGAATGTTCTGGTTAAGGACCAACATTTGCTGTCACCTATTTATCCGCACACAAAACAGTCTTTGAGTAATGAAAATAGATGTCAAAAGCCCCATACCCCAAACACTCATTTTCCTTATTCATAGATGTTCGTATTGGGCTTCTGCTGGAACTTTCTGAATTCGTTTTTCTCCAAGATTCTTTTTATTTATAATAATATGTTTATGTGGACATAACGGCATGCACGTGTGAGCACAGATGCCTGTGGAGTCTAGAAGAGGGTCTCAGATCCCCTGAAGAGGGAGTTTCTGGGGGTCATGAAGCACCTAACGCGGGCCCTCTGCAAAAGCAGGACGTGTTCTTTACCACTGAGCTGTCTTTGCGGCCCCTGAGTTCTTCATCAGTGTTTTCTACAAACTAGATTAGGAGATCACGGCAGCATAAGAACAGCAACTGTAAGGGACTGCTTGAGTTCAGGAACAAAGACAATGAGGGCATAATATGTCATCCAGGCTGCATGGGAAGACCCCGTCTCAAAAATCCAGATGGAGTGACCACAGTAATAGCGACGGAGGAAAGTAGGGAGATGGGAAAATGGGAATCTGTCAGACGCCTGCTCCAGGGGCCCGGGGACCACTATGTTCAGGTCACACGGCTCCAACTACCGATGGGTTCTCTGGAGGCCCAAAAGTGGCAACATACAGTGTCACAGAGCCATTAAGTCATCCAGTGGGAGACGTAGGACCATTTTGGTAGTCGATTAGGCACCTAACTAACCTCATGAAAGGATAGGGAACATGTGGTTCATGGTACTTAAATACAAGTTCATTTGGCTTCGGGGACTGTTGATTTCAGGTGCACAGGCATGGTTATTGGAGTTTTTTTTGTTGTTGGTGTTTGTTTGTTTGTTTTTTGAGACAGGGTTTCTCTGTGGTTTTGGAGCCTATCCTGGAACTAGCTCTTGTAGACCAGGCTGGTCTCGAACTCACAGAGATCGCCTGCCTCTGCCTCCCAAGTGCTGGGATTAAAGGTGTGCGCCACCACCGCCCGGCTGGAGAGAGTTTTCATTGCTATTGTTGTTTTGCTTTTTAGAGGTCAGTCCTCTTTGTAACCTAGGCTGACTTCAAACTGGCAGTCCTCCTGCTTCCTGACCAAAGTGTTGAAATTACAGGCATATTCCATCATGCCTGGTAAAGCTTTTCTCTTGGTTTCTTTGTATCTGTTATTATATCATTACTGCTTTGTTCTGTGTTCAAGGTTTTTCTTGGACATGCATGTCTTTATCATGACAAGAATGTAACTGCAAGCATTTGTTTTCTTTGTTTGGGACAGGGTCTTGTGACATAGCCCACGATTGTAGCAGCAATCATGCTGAGGATTGTAGGCATCACCCTATTATATTATGAGGCCCATAATATAAAGTCTAGTGACAACCAGGACTTGCAGAAAAAGCCTCAGGATTGCCTTGTCTAAGTTACATGCTCATTCATGCACCCAACCTAGAGCTTGAGGAGTAAATAGCATGCTATCATTGGCTAAGCCTGGGTCACATGTTGGGGCTAAGCCCAGTTGCATATGAGCTGCTTGAGCTGATAGTGGATGCTGAATGGTTTTCCCAGGGGAAGTGAGAGTGTAATTAGCAGAAAAGAGGTAGGTGAAGCTCCAAGAATTTCACTATCCACTGTAAAGAGATCACATGGTCACTCACGTGTTCAAAATCCTTCTTTCACAAGTGAGAACAGTGAGATTCCAGATAGGTGAATCGGTTTTTGATTGTACGTTTAGTACAGCATTTGGCATGGTCTAGAAACTCATTTGAACTCACTTTCTTTTTTCTATGTAGCTCCCAGCTCTGGGAACTGCCCTCATTCTCTTATTCCCCATCTCTACTGCCTGGTCCCAGCAGAGCCTAAGTCCTTGAGTCTTTCCTCCTTAGGCTGCTCCAGGGTCTCGAAGTCTTCAGCCTTCAGTGGTTGTGTTAGTTGGCTCAGCAGACTACAGGGTTTAAAATTTCATCTCAGCCCTGGAGCCTGGAAATCCAAGATCAAGGTGCATTGTCCTCCTCTGAGGCGTCTTTGATGCGTAGATGGTGACATTCTCCCTGTATCTTTATATATGCCTATGCCCCAATTTTCAGTCATAGCGGGTTAGGGCCTGCTCTCCAGACCTTTGCAGGTGCTAGGTGAGTGTTCTGCATCTGACCTCCATCCCCAGTTCTTCAGTTTACATCTTTAGAAACCCATTCTCTAAATAGAGTCACAGAATACTTGGAATGGAAAGATCAACTGAGGAGGCGGGTATGAATTTGAGGAGAACACAATTTGGTATGTGGCAGTTGGATATAGCAAAGGACACCTAAGCCTCAGATTTCGGTTGAGTATACTCCCAACTTGGGACAACTTTTGAGATGTCAAAATTTAAAGTGGGCCTGGTGATGGATGCATTCTGCAATCCTAGCACTTGGAGGGTAGGGACAAAAGGACCATGAGCTCAAGGCCATCATTGGCTACAGAGCATATTTGAGCTGGTGTGGGGTATAAAAGACTGCCCCCTCCACACAGAAGACTGGGCAGTAGGTCAGTTGGTACAGTGCTTGCCTGGCTTACAAAAACTCGGGCATGGTAGTACAGACCTGGACTCTTTATCACTTGGGAGGTAGAGGCAAGAATTTCCGAAGTTCAAGGTCATTCATAGCTACACATGGATTTGGAAAGTGGTCAGAATACATGAGCCCTTGTATCAGAAAAACAAACAAACAAAAAACTAGACAGGAATAGGATCTCTCCCTCTCTCTAGTTCTACCAGGCTTTCTCTCTCTCTCTCTCTCTCTCTCTCTCTCTCTCTCTCTCTCTCTCTCTCTCTCTCATCTACACACTTGCTAGGCCCATACTTTTCCACTGAGTGCCACACCCCCAGCCCTTCCATCTCTTTCCTTAGAACTGTCCCCGTGGGGGATCCACTCTGCTGGGTTTCTGCTCGGCATACCCACCCCTAAATCTCAACATGGCCAGGGATAGAAAGTTGATCCAAACTCTCCACTTTACTGATGGTGGGTGGACGTTGGGGAGCCCTTAAATCACTTGCCAGAGTCATACAGTCCTTTATGTATACAGGCTTTCCAGTTCCCAGGCCTGCACAGCACTGTTCAGAATATGCATTATGAAATATAGAAGTCAGGGGCTGGAGGGATGGCTCAGAGGTTAAGAGCATTGGCTGCTCTTCCAGAGGTCCTGAGTTCAATTCCCAGCAACCACATGGTGGCTCACAACCATCTGTAATGAGATCTGGCGCCCTCCTCTGGCGTGCAGGCATACATGGAGGCAGAATGTTGTAAACATAATAAATAAATCTTAAAAAGAAAAAAAAAAGAAATATAGAAGTCAGGTGAGTGGATTGTAGAAGGTGACCTTGTGGGTCACCAGTCCAGTTCCTTCATTTGAGAAACAAAAAGGAAATGCAAGGATGATTTTTTTTTTTTTTAAAAAAAGGTAAATGACAGAAACCTTAAAAAAAAGGCAGGTCCATAATTCCTTTGTGAAATCACGGAAAGCTCCCACAAAACACTTTCCACTAATTTATCAGCCTGGAAGTAAGTTGTACTTTTTTCCCCCAACAGCTTTAATCGATTTCTCCTGGACTTTTCATTTATCCATCTCTAGCTGGAGGCAGCATGATGAACTCAGGGACAACAGCAGGCCTCGGATCTCATTTTCGAGACTTGTTAGCCATGTGGGTTTAGACAAGTCATGTGATCACAGGACCTCTGTACCAGGCTTTTTCTTATAAGCCACTAACCAACTCCCAAACCATGACACAGAGACTTACTAGTTTTGAATGCTAGGCCTAGCCCAGTCACGTTTCTGGCTAGCTCTTTTAACTTAATCTGTTTCTCTCTATCTACCTTTTGCCTTAGGGTTTATTACCTTTCTCTGTATATCTTACTTTTCCTGCTTCTCTGTGTTTGCTGCCTGGTGTCTGCCTCGTTCTCTCCTCCTCCTCCTTTTCTTCTCTCATTCTTCTTTCAGGCCTAGATTTCTCCTCCTCTTTATTCCCTCTCCCTGCCAGCCCTGCCTATTTCCTTTCCCTTGCTATTGGCCATTCAGCTCTTTATTAGACCAATCAGGTGCCTTAGGCAGGCAAGGTGAAACAGATGCAACACATCTTTACGTAATTAAACAAATGCAGCGTAAACAAAAGTAACACACCTTTATTTAGTTCAAGTAGTAATATTCTGCAGCAGAAAGAAAGGTAACACATCTTTGCCCAGTTAAAATAATAGTTTATAGCAGACCTCAGTCTCTGCTTGTAAAAGAACGAGGTGGCACTGACTGCTGGTGGATTGTTGTGACACTAATATGAGCTAATCACTCTCTGTAGGATGCTCAGATTAACCCGTAAACCTCGCATCAAGATTAGCTCTGGAAGTTTAGTGTGGTAGCACAAGCCTGTAGTCTGAGGTAGGGGCATGAAGATCTGGAATCCAAGGTCATCCTTGACTGCAAACCAAGTTTGGGACCAGTCTGAGCCCCATGAGACCCTGTCCCAAGAACAAACCAGCCAACAAAAAAAACATAGCTATGGTCCCTACTGGAGAAAACAAATGCCCCCAAAGGCGAGCTTTTTTGTCCATATTTTCTAATACATACCTCTAGTGCCTAGAAGTCTGTAACAGGTAGGTCATAACATGTATGAGTCTTTGTCGTATGAATTAGTGAAGGCACGTACTTATGTCATATGAATGTATGGATGCAAATACAGAGGACCATAAAAAAAAATCTGTGCTGAAGAGAGGGGTTGTGATTGGATGGAAATCTCCAACTTATTTAATTACTTCTCCATGGGATTGGTTTAATAATTCCTGTTGCCGTCAACATTCCTCAAGTTCTTGTTTGTCTTTTTAGGCTGAGGCTCCATGAAGAAAAGGTTATCAAGGATAGGCGGCATCATCTCAAGACCTACCCAAACTGCTTTGTCGCGAAAGAACTGATCGACTGGTTGATTGAGCACAAGGAGGCCTCTGACCGAGAGACGGCGATAAAACTCATGCAGAAATTAGCTGACCGGGGCATCATTCATCATGGTGAGTGAGGCGGCAATGAAGACCACATTGATTGAGTGGATGTACTCGTTATGAAGTCAGAGACAGGAGTGATGGCTCTTGCAGACACGGGAGAATCAGAAGGTCAAAGCCAGCCTTGGCTAAATGATGAGTTTGAAGCCAGTCTGGGCTATGTGAGACCCTGTGTCCACAAAATCAAGTGTTAGTTAGTAAACCAATAACCATTTTACTTTAAATGATCTCTTCAGTACTTCTTCCCAATGCGTCCTTTTTCCAAGAGATACTTGGATTATTTTCATTTGCTTTCCTAGACAGTGTGCCATAATTGAACCTTCATCAGAATGCGTATTTACTATTTGCAACTTGATCAGCAGGCTGTGTGTCAAAGTCACTAGTGTTGATAGCCTATTTCTCTGAAATTATTGTTTGTTAGGCTAGCAGACAAACCAAGGGGTTTCCGCATGGTGCCTTCATAAATGTGTGCCTTTGTATTTTGTTATCTTGCATGCCTCCTTCACCGTTCATACTGGTCCCCACTCCACCCCTTACCTGACTCTTCTTTTTCTCTGAGTCCCCCACCCACCTTCTTATCCCATGGATTGGTGATCTTTTCTATTTTCCACCTCCCTTCAAATCTCTTTCCTGATTCAAGATCCACATTTCTGGCCGTTCATCTTGCTGATACTGTTGTATGCATAGTGTGCCTTGTATAGACCATTGTAGCTTCTTCTGTTCAGTTAAGGGATATTTACGTTGTTTATAAGTTTTGGCTGTTACTCTTAGTTACTATTCTTGTGGTGTGAAGAGACACCATGACCAAAGCAACTTTTACAAAGGAAAAAATTTAAATGGTACTTGCTTGAAGTTTTAGAGGGTTTGTCTATGATCATCATGGCTACACAGACCTGGTGTTGGAGTAGTAGCTAAGAGCTTTACATTCTGATCAGCCGGTAGGAAGCAGAGAGAAACATACTGGGCCTGGAGTGGACTTTTGAAACCTCAAAGGTCACCCCCACTGATACACCTTCTGCAAGGACACACCTCCCAATCCTTCTTAAACAGTTCAACAACTGGGGACTGAGCATGCAAATATATGAGCCTATGGGGGCCATTATCATTCAAACCATCCCACTCTCCAATGGTTCAATGAACATTCATGAACATGTGTGTGCTGACTTGACTAGTTTTATGTTGACTTGACACAAGCCAGAGTCACCTAGGGAGGGGGCACCTCAATTAAGCAACAGTCTCCATATTGCTCTATTTAGAAGCCTGTTGTGGTGCATGTTTTTAAATTGAAAATTGATGTGGGTGGGCCCAGCTCACTGTGGGAAGTGCTACCCCTGGGGCTGGTGGTCTTGGGTGGTATCAGACCGATAGGTTGAGTGAGCCATGAAGGACAACCCAGGAAGCAGTATTCTTTATGACTTCAGCTTCAGTTCCTGTCCGGACTTCCCTCAGCGAGGAACTGTTACCTTGAAGGGTAAGATGTAATAAGCTGCTTTCTCCCCAAGTTGCTTTTGGTCGTGGTGTTTTATCACAGCAATAGAAACAATATGTCCTCGAAGTCTCAGCCTGACCCAGACATTTGCACTCTGATGTTCCTCTAAGCTAAGATAAAAATTCTCCTTATTTTTGTTCATTCCCTGATAAGTTTCTACTTACAGATAATCCAGGAGAGCTGGATTTCCATTCCCCAAAGCTGGGGTCCTGAGAACTCCTCCATCACTCCCGCCGCAGTTTTCTCTAACACCTACAAACCCCTGCATCATTTTAGTTATGTGCTGACGTTTCTCTTCAGATCACTTTCAGTTTTCTGACAAAAGGGGTCATTACCTTGTAGCCCCAGCTGGCCTCGAACTCGTGATTCTTTGTCTCAGTCTCCCAAGTACAAGGGTTACAACTGTATGCCACCTAATTTAGCTTAGATGTATAATCTTTGAGGCTCATGTTATTCCAGTGTTCATGCTTATAAAGATTCTGGGATAAGTGATGAAGTGAATTTGGTTGTTGGAGACCAGCTTTGACAAAAATACCACTTACCAGGGTAGGAGCATGGGGGTTAGAAAACTAGTAAAGAAAGCGAGGATGTGAGTGAAAATAATAAAACAGAAACAGAGGATAGTACCGGGAGGGAGCTCCAGTGAATACTGAAATCGCCCGCATTTAATTTTCCACACACTTTTATACCCCAGTACAACAGGGGGGAGAAGACAAAAGACTGCTTTAACATGATACAAAGGACAACTAGAACAGTTACTTGCTTCAATACTTTGAGATGTCAAGTCATTAGCACTCTGTTGTTTAGGCAGTGAACCCGCCCTAGACCAAGTCTCCTGAGGGCATCCACTCCCAAGGTCAAACCTCCTATTTCAAAAGAAGGGGCAGGCGGTAGCTTGAATATTCTGACCATTGGTCAGGGTGGAATGGATCTACCTGTACGGGCCACCTTAATGTAAAAAAGATCCAGTAACCACACCCTAGGTCAGAGAGTGAAGCCTCACTGGTCAACAACTTTGAACAAGCTAAAACTCTCTGACCTTCAGAGGAGGTGGAAATAGGCTCACATTTTTGGGCTCCCACATTTCGTGAGCCTTTTAATACATGGTGAGGGTAGTGATGCTGACAAACACTGAGTCAGAGCACTGTGCTGAGCATTGATGTCCCTGTGAGCAAGTATTGAAGCCGCGAGATGGATTTTAATCTCCTGTCTCTAGTGAGGCTTTCGTTGTCCTCTCTGTGTGCTTTGTGTTTCAGTGTGTGACGAGCACAAGGAATTCAAGGATGTAAAGCTCTTCTACCGCTTTAGAAAGGACGACGGAACCTTCCCGCTGGACAACGAAGTGAAGGCCTTCATGAGAGGACAGAGGCTGTATGAAAAGTAGGTCCACCGCCATCTCGACTTGGAAGAAAGGAGTGGGCTCTATTGATCTTTACTTTGCTTGCTTGCTTGTTTTATTTATTTATATCTTGAGAAGGGAGCTTAAGCTGAATCCAAGTCTGGGTATGGTCATAGGATGACCTTGAATTTCTGATCCTCCTGCCTCCACCTGCTGGCATTACAACTGTGTGTCACTGTTGCTTGTTTTTGTGGTGCTAAGGATGGAACACAGGGCAAGTCCTGCATCAGCTGAGCTTCATCAGCAGCTCATCCATCTGTCTTTTACCATGTCGACTTCAGCGTGGCTCTTCCTTGTGGGCTGGTTATATAACCGTTCCTTCTAATAGGAGAAAACTCTGTCACGTAGTTGCTTTTCTCTTTGTCAGAAATCAAAGTTGGTTTCATAAGGTCCTTAATACTCGATCAAAACCATATTTTCTGTACCTAAAACAGTTGAGCAAAATTACAGAAGAGAAAACAGAAGGGCACTCTTTGATGTTTGCCATCAAGTGATACCCATGACCTTTTCCTTGTTTGGTGGATGAGTCTTTTGCAGAATCTGAAGATTCAGTCTTGCACATGCTGTGCACAGGGGAAGGTTAGGGTCATGCCAGGCAATCAGGCCGAGAGCACCTTAAGGAGCAGGGTCTGTGTGAGGCCCGTGTTTCAGCTCTCTGGAAGCTGAAGCACACCATACATACCACAGGAGCACTCAGTTGACAAGTCCGGAGCCTCCCACGAGGTGTGTCTCAGCGCTGTTTTTCTCTGACCTCTTGTTCTTCTAGCCATCCTTATTTTTATCCAGGGCAACATTTTTAGAAACTATCTCAGAGGCAATGCCATTCCTTAATTCTAGCTGCCTTGCAAGGCTTTGAACCTTCTGAAAACTCGTATTTGTCACATATAAGATACACAAGTGTCACCTGCTCCACAGTGAGTGGGTGTAGGGGTTACAGTGAGGGTTTAAGAAGCCAGACAAAGGATCGAGAGGATTTAAGAGCTAAGGTTGAGTTTTAGTTAAGAACACAGGGCTTGCACATGCTTCGTAGGCTCTACCAGTGACCCTTGCCCCAGCCTTCTTTTGAATCTCTTCCAGCCTCGCCACCTGTGCCTAGCCAATTTTACAGTGAACATTTGATGGAAATTATGGCTAGAGGCCAGGCTGTGTCTCAGATGTGCACAGTTGCCGAGCATGTGTAAGGCCCAGGAGGAGGAGAGGGGCTGTGACTTTGAGTGTTTGTTTGTTTGGTTTTCTCTCTTGTGAGTTGATCAATATTCCAGGATTCTCTGTGCCAGCCATTTACTTTCTAATCACTATTACTCAGTGTCTCAAATTGCAAGTAAATTTATTTCCCCAAACTGCTTGTGAAATTAGCAGTAGGACAAAGAAATTTAATATGTATTTGACCCTAAGTGACCCAGCTGCGGTTTCACAGACCTTGGCCTCCGCTTTGGGTTGCTGGCTCATGTTTGGAACAAACTTTAGGGCCCCTGAAATGGGCTCTTCTATTGTATGCATTCTCCCTGTCTTATGGGTGATCTTCTTGTAAATTTCAGTACATTTGTAAGTTTCAGATACGTTTATAGTGTTAGAAATGAATAGCTGGTAATCTAGTCAGGTACCTTATTTACATTTTTAGAATTAAAGGGATTTTTTTTTCCAACAGTATTTTCCCTAGAATACTTCTTTGGGGGTATCTCTAGCATTTACACATGAATGTCTTGTATGATATGTGCTCCTTTGATTTTTCTCCTTTTAAGATTATAACAGTAAGTGTTGACTGCAAAATGCTTATAGGAGAGCTTGGTTAGTAGAGTTAGTAATTGAATTGCTACATGACTAATTTAGATGCTTTTATTGTCCCTGTTTTATGGTGGGGGAATGGGGCAGGCAGGGTAAGTCTCTTGTCCAAGGCCAACTAAATCCAAGCTGAAATTTGAATCCAGAAACCTAAACCCTAACATCTTTGTCACTTGGCTGGTAATAAGTCCTAAATCCTTTTCGTTCCCCATTATTGAGATTAAATGAATGAATAAACATTTACTCCAGAATACAGTTAACTGTAACATGAGGCAGGGGATTTCTAACTTGTCAAGGTAGAGACCTTTCTGTAAAATTTTATTGAAAGGTACCAGACAGACATAAGCATGAGATCCTGTTCAGGGCCAGTATCCCCGGTGCTCTGTAATAAGACCCCGGATGTGGATCTGACCTGAATGCCTCCTTTCTGAGGACTAGCTTTCACGGTACTGCGTCCAGAGGAGGGAGGCAACCAACAGTCCTACCCAATTATGACACCGTGAACCACATCAACAACCAGCATGACACCGTAACCTAAGAGTGCAATAGTGGCATGCATACCTTAGCAGTAACCAACAACTCTCTCATTGTATTCAGCAAGAGGGAAACCATGCCTGGTGCCAGAAACCCAGCTAACTACTAAGTGCCTACTGAAGTCATGATTGTTGGAGGAAAATCTACAACTACTAATTTATTAGGCCTGAATAATCGCTCGCAACAGTCTATAAACATTTGTCCTTATACTCCCAGGGAGGTGTAGTCCTTACTCCTCAACAAGGAAATTTTTCTTTCCAGCAGATGGAGAACACTAGAAAACGAAAACCAATCAAAATGCAGGGTTGTGGCACTCAGTCCCAATGGGGATATATCTACAAAACACCCTACATCTAAGGCTCAGGGAGCTTTGTGGAAGAGGGGGCAAAAAGATTATAAGAGCCAGAGGATCAGGGAGTTCACTGTGAGATGGTATCTCTGAGTGACGTCAGAAGCTACATCCATAATGTCTCACCAGCATGATTGCCCAAATGTGAGCTGAGCAAGGATGATGCCAGTGAACTTGCCCAGGTGGACCAGGAAAAGCTCATGAGGCCTTAGGCCTATACAAAGAACTGTAATCAGCCCAGGAAACCTGGAAGCGGGAGAAGTGGTCTTCCCCAGGCAAGAGCACACCTACTGGCTGTTCAGTTCTAAATAGTCATACATACATACATATATACATACAAGTCACATTATACAAACTGAATAGGTTATAGTTAGAAATATATCTATGTATACATATACATATATGCATGCGATAACCAATCAAAGAAGAGGCCATGAATTTGAAGGAAAGTGGGGCGTAGTATATGGGGAGGATTTGGAGAGAGGAAAGGAAAAGGAGAAGTGTTGTAATATTATAATCTTACCTAATTGAGTTGTTGAAGAGAACAGTTTGAATGAACCTTGAGCATCTTCACATCGGGGAATGACTTCTCAATTCTAATTTCACCTGATTTAATGCAGAGTTAAATTCCCTCTCTGTCTGGTGAAGATTCTGTTTGTCTTAGTTGGGCTCTTTTGTTGTTGGACCTTGGCGGCGGTGAGAATGCTCCCCAGCCACCCGCCTGTTTATCCTGCTTAGGGGTTTAGACCTGATTGAAGCGTGGTAAGAGATGAATGCCTTGAGATCTGTGGCTTCCCACTGCCGCTTTTCATTTTCTCTTCCACGCGACAGAAGAGGAATCAAAAGGAAAAGCCATCTCCAGTGGGGCAGGGTCCGTCTGTGTGTTTTATCTTCTCCACCATGTGTCCCACGATGGTTCTTTTGTTCTTTCTCAGTGCCTGGCACAGTAAATATTGTTGAATGTACAAAGGACTTGCCGTGTTGTTTCTGTGTGCCTCTGAGCGTACGGCATGAGAGATCTGCTTAACGGCAAGCAACAATAGCCAGCCTGTTCACCTTGTCTGGCTTCGAAGAGCTAACAAAGCATCTTTTTGCTGTTGTTGTTTTGGTTTTGGTTTTTCAAGACAGGGTTTCTCTTTGTAGTCCTGGAACTCACTCTCTAGGCCAGGCTGGCCTCGAACTCAGAGATCCACCTCCTGAGTACTGGGATTAAAGGCATGTGCCACCACTGCCAAGCACAAAGCATTGTATATTTTGTTATGCTTGACTTTCCTTACAATTCTGAGTGATATACCCAGCAGGTATAATTGATTCCATTGTAAAACTGAGGACATGAGGTATGGAGAGGCTTAAATTGTTAATATAGACCCTTAGTTAGGGAGCTAGAGATATTTCTTAAACACCTCTGGAGCTGGAGAAATGGCTCAGCAGTTAGAAGCTCTTGCTGCTCTTCCAGAGGACCCACATTTGGGTTCTCAGCACCTGCATCGGATGGCTTACAGATGCTTCTATTTTCAGTTCTGGGGGGAAAATGCCATCTTTTGATCTCTTCTGGCACCTGTATGCACATGGCATATCATGCGCACACACACCTAAAAATAAACAAGTAAACAAGTAAATATCTTGATGGGGGAATGTCTTTAAGCCATTATGTAGGGCTGGGAGAATGCATCTGTGTGTATGCAGTTGAATATGGAGGCCAGCGGGAGGCTTCAGGCATGTCTCACTGTCCGTTCTTGGCGACTGTCTCACGCTGAATCTGGAGCTCACAGGTTGACTAGACTGGCTGGCTGCCCACGTACCCCAGAGGCCCTCCTGTCTCCACTTCCCAGCACTGGGATTGCAGGTATGTACTATCACAGGGCTTTTCACGAGGGTGCTGGGGATCTGAACTCAGCTCCTCCTGCTTGCCTGGCAGACAACTTCCTTCAGCGCATCTTTATGCCCATCTTCTTCTGTTTCCACCTTGCAAACATTTTTTTTCAACTGAGCTTGGTTGGTTGGTCATTTGGTTGACTACTTAGGTTGTTTGTTTTGAGGTGAGGTCTGCATAGCTCTAACCATCCTGGAACTTCCTATGTAGACCAGAATGGCCTCAGTCTTACAGCCACTCCCCTGCCTCTGTCTCTCTCGCAAGTGTTGGGATGACAGGCATGGACCCAAACTGATACCTTCAGCTCTACAATTTGATTCAAATTTCAGCTTGAAATATTTTCAACCATTCGGGAAGCTAAAACGAAACATTTTCCATTGTGTCGTGGACATTTTTGGTTTAATAGTGCTGCTTGATTTGTGTTTTCACAGAACCTTTTTTGT